TTGCACTCGCCCTGGGGGCTGTTAAAGTTAATGAAGTTAATGAAGTTAATAAAGTTAATAAAGTTAATAAAGTTAATAAAGTTAATAAAGTTAATAAAGTTAATAAAGTTAATAAAGTTGATTGAATCAACTTTATTAACTTTATTAACTTTATTAACGTTCCGAGGGCATCGGAGAGGGGGGCGATTCGGTTTATTAACGCCAACGTAAAGTTAATAAAGTTAATAAAGTTAATTCAAGACCCCGAGAGGCCGCAATGCACCAATCCGCCCGCCCCCTCCTCCCCCAACCCTCCTCATACCCGTTCCATCCTGCCTCCTCTCCTCACCAGCCTTCCTACTGCGCATGTCCTCATCTCCTCCCCTCCTCCTCCTCCTCCTCCTCTTCCTCCCCCCCGATCCTCACCATTTTGTTGTTTGCGTTCTTCTTAGGTTTCTTTTTCGTCTGATTTTTTCTTTGTTTGCTTCTTTTTTTTTTTTTTTTCTTTTTGTTTTTTTCTCTTTAATTATTCCTCCTCCTCCCTCCTCCCTTCCCGCCTCCCCTCTGGCTCTTCTCCTCTCTCCTCTTCTTCCACTCTCATCCTCCTCCTCCTCACCTCCTCCTCCCTCCTCCTCACTGCTCCTCCCTCCTCCTCACTTCTCCTCTCCGTACCTCCTCTTCTGTCTTCGCCTCCTGCCGACTGCAACCTCCACTTTTCAGGTGCTCCTCCTTCTTCTCCTCCTCATGCCGCATACCCAGCGGCCGCCTAATGCCCCCCCCCAGCCGTCTAAGCGTACTATACTCCTCCTACCACAGCCAGCCAGCCCAACGACGAACCAGCCAAGCAGCACGCCCCCTCGAATCCCCAGGACTTCCTCACTCAAGACTACGATCAGAAAGACCCAATTCATCGTCCTCTCCTCCCCTCCTCATCCTATAGCTCATCCCCGACTTAACAATCTTCTTCCTTCTTATACAAAGCATCCAACTACCTCCCTTATCCTCCTACCTAACTAACCATCTCATTCTCTCTCCATCGCCTTCTTCCTCCTCCTCTCCACATACCCTCCTTCTCCTCCTCCTCCTCCTCCTCCTTCTTCTCCTCCTCCTTCCCCTGTCCCTCCTCCCTCATGCCAATCCACGCGTCGCGAGTCAATCTTGGCTGGCTTCTCGGAGGTTCTCGGTGGTCTCACTGGGGGTGCGGATGGGATCCCCGAGGGTCGGGGTAGAAGTTAGCGGCAGGAGGAAGATCCAGACTTCGGAGATGCCGAAGTACAGCCAAGACGCTGAAATAAAGAACCGCTTTGGGCTCGGGAGGGCTTGGGTTTTCGGGCCAGTCCTTGGATTTCTGTCGCGGAGCCTGTTTGTGGCCTAGCTTCGCCGTGGCCAGAAAAGCCCCTTCGTCACTGATCAGGTCATCCTTACTGTTGTGCAATGCCTGTGGGGGTGACGTCTGACCCTAAGAGATCGGGCTTCTGGGAGGAGCGGCGCGCCGCGGTGCCGGAGGAAGGTGGCCCGCACCGAGCAGTCGGCCGCGGCCAGCAAAGCTCCTTCGCTCCTTGGAGAGGCGGCCCGCACCGAGCAGCCGGCCGGGGCGAGAAACGCCCTCTCGTTCCTTCTTGGGCGCTCCTCCTCTTCCTCCTCCTCCTCCTCCTGCTCCTCCTCCTCCTCCTCCTCCTCCTCCTCCTTCTCCTCCTCCCCCTCCTCCTCTCCTCCTCCATCCTCCTCCTCCTCCTCCTCTCCTCCTCCTCCTCCTCCTCTCCATCCTCCTCCTCCTCCTTTCTTGGGCGCTCCTTGCTGTAGTGCGATGCCTGTAAGCGTGGCGTCCGAACCGCGGAGCTGGGGGCGCTTCGGCGGGGGGGAGGGGGCGCGCCGTGGTGCTGGAGGGGCGCAGCGCCCGCGCCGAGCAGCCCGCGGCGCGGAGAGCCCACGCGGAGGGCGGTGTCGAGCGCTCGCAGGGCCCACGGGTCGAAAAATTAACGGCGTGGAGGGAGGAGGAGGACGAGGAGGAGTAGGAGGAGGAGGAGGAGGAGGAGGAGGAGGAGGTGGAGGAGGAGGAGGAGGAGGAGGCGGAGGAGGAGGAGGGGGGGGAGGAGGAGGAGGAGGCGGAGGTGAGACCTATGAAGAGGGAACTGGGAGGAATTTCGCTATTCTGCAAAATCGCTGGTGCGTCTTGGGTTTACACTGGACCTCCTCCTCCTCCTCCTCCTCCTCCTCTCGTCCCTTCTGCTCTTCTCCTCCTCTACTTGCTCCTCTTGCCGCCGTGCGCACTTGCGCGCATGTGGGAGTGCTTGCAGGAGGAGGAGGAAGGGGAGGAGGAGGAGGAGGAGGAGGAGGATGAGGAGGAATAGTACTCATACTAATACTACTAACACTACGAATGCTACTAACGTTAATAGTGATAATGGCAACAGTCGTACTAGTAATCTGATTATGGTTAGTACTAATACGATTAATAGTATTAATATGACTGAGATTACTAATACTACGACTGATACTAGTAACAACAACACTGACACTACTAGTACCAGTAATCTCATTTGCAATACTGTTATTCATAGTCGTGCTGATTCGAATATTAGAGTACTAGTAAGACTACGAATAATCTCACTACTATGCATACTAATAATACTAATGCTGCTAATGACAGCAGTAGTAAGAATACGAATGCTAATGTTAATACTCATAAAATTAATACTGATATTAATAATGATGATGCTAATAATACTAATCATAACAATCATACGAATGATAATAATACTACTACTTCCGATAATAATGATGATACTGACAATGTTAAGATGATTAACAATTAATAGTAATCATACTTACAAGAAAACGAGAGGATGAGAATGAGGAGGAGGGGGGGGAAACGGAGGAGGCGGATGAGGAGGAGGAGGAGGAGGAGGATGCGGAGGATGAGGATGATGATGATGATGATGATGATGATGATGATGATGATGATGAGATGAGGAGGAGGAGGAGGAGGAGAGGAGGAGGAGGAGGAGGAGGAGGAGGAGGAGGAGGAGGAGGGGGGAGAGGGATGGGGGAGGGGGAGGGGGAGAGGAGGAGGAGGAGGCGGACGGAGGAGGAGGGAGGAGGATAAGGAGGAGGAGGAGGAACAGGCGATACGAGGAGGAGGAGAAGGAGAGGAGGATGAGGAGGAGGAGAGGAGGAGGAGGAGGAGGAGGAGGAGGAGGAGGAGGGAGGAGGAGGAGGAGGAGTACGAGGAGGGAGAGGAGCAGGATAAGACGTAGGATGTTGTTTTTTAGTTGGGGGGGGGGCTCTTGAGCTGACGGTTGGATTCCCAGAGGATTCCGCAGAACCCTGTAGGAGGAGGAGGAGGAGGAGGTGGAGGAGGAGGAGGAGCAGGGAGGAGGGTGAGGAGGATGAGGACGAGGAGGAGACGCAGGAGGAGGAGGATGAGGATGAGGAGGGAGACGACGAGATGAGCAGCATGGGCGATGATGTAATGATGTTGACAACGATGTTGTTGCTGATGATGGTGCTGATGGCGGCGGCGACAGTGATGATGACGATGACGATGACGATGACGACGACGCTGATTGTGGCGGCGGTGGCGACGATGGCGATGATGCTGATCATGCTGCTGCTGATGGTGATGGTTATGGAGGTGGTGATAGTGATGACGATGACCAGGATGATGAGGATGATGCTGATGATGCTGATGATGCTGATGATGCTGCTGATTATGAGGATGATGAGGATGATTATGCTGATGCTGCTGCTGATGATGATGCTGATGCTGATGATTATGCTGATGACAATGATGTTGATGATGATTGATGGTATGATGATGATGCTGATGATGATGATGCTGATGATGATGATGATGATGATGATGATGATGCTGACGACGACTTTGCTAATGATGATGCTGATGACGATGATGATGATGTTGATGATGATGCAGATGATGATGCTGATGACGCAGATGATGCTGATGATGGTGACGACTATGCTGCTGCTGCTGAGTATGGTGATGCTGATGGTTATGACGATGATACTGATGAACATGCTGATGATGATAATGATGATGATGATGATGCTGCTGCTGATGACGATGGTGATGCTGATGATGACGATGATTTTGATACTGATGCTGATGCTGTCGCTGCTGATGATGATGCTGCTGATGCTGATGATGCTGCTGATGATGCTGATGATGCTGATTATGATGATGATGCGGATGCTGCTGCTGCTGCTGCTGGTGGTGGTGGTGATGGTTATGATGATGATGATGATGATGATGATGATGATGATGATGATGATGATGATGATGATGATGATGATGAGGACGATGATGATGATGATGATGATGATGATGATGATGATGATGATGATGATGATGATGATGATGATGATGATGATGATGATGATGATGACGATGCCGGCGACAATGACGATGTCGTTTATGAGGATGATTCTGCTGACGCTGATGCTGATGCTGCTGCTGGTGAGGATGATGACGGAGCCAGAGAAGAAGTTGGACGTGAAGGAGGTGGAGGAGCAGGAGGAGGGCATCGTGAAAGTACGAATCGACGAGATGTGCGACAAGTCGCATGACCTTCGCCCCTCCTCGTTCGCATCCGCTCTTCCCCCCCCTCCTCATCGCTCTCCTGCCCCCCTCCCCGCCCGCATCTTCTGTCCTCGCACCGCCCGTCCCCGTGCCCCTGCCCACCACCCGCGAGCGAACAGGCCCGACCAGCGCTACAGGGTGAGGGCCAAGCGAGAGAAGTACCGCAAGCCCCGCGCTCAGAGCGCCCCCCCCCCCGCCCAGCTTCTCCTGCACCCAGCTGCTCCTGCACTCGCTCCCGCTCTCCTGCCTCCTCCGCCCTCCTTCCCCTCACCACCGTCTTCCCTCGTCTTTCGTCTCCCCCCCTCCCTCAGGCTTGGGCTCAAGCCTCAGCTCGGCTCAGGCTTGGGCTCGAGCCTGCTTCCCGAGCCAGCACGATCGGCGCCCCGGCGGCGCTCGCGCCCTTTGCCCCTCGCGCTCCCGGATGGACCTGCCGCCGCGGCGCGGGTGCCCGAACCGCACCGCCGCTCCGCGGCGTGCTCCCTGCGCGCGGGCGGAGCGCCGTGCGGCCCAGCACCTCCTCCGAGCACTCGGCGAGGTGGTGCAGCGCCGCGATGAGGCCTCGTCGCGGCTCGGGCAGGCGCTGCGCCGAGCCCGAGCCGTGACGGTGGCACCTCCGCGGATGCCGCTGGTGGAGCTCGTCTCGCACCTGCTCCTCCCGATCCGGCGCCTGCTGGCGATCGGGCCAATCGCCTGCCGCAGCGGTGCCCCTGATGCCCCTTCCCTGTGGCCCCGCCGCGAGGGATGGCTGCCCTGGACAAGGATGCCGCGGCGGCGCCTCGTGGTCGCGAGGGCGAGGTGGCACCCCAGACGGGGGCAGAAGCGGTCATGGAGGCAGCTGCGTGGGCCGCTGTGGCCGCGCCGCAAGTTCGCAAGCGTGGAGCTGACGGACCAGGAGCTCCCTTGCCGCGGGACGCCTCGCACGGGCAGCCGAAAAGCGTAGGTGCATTTGATCATCAACTTCGCTGCAGTGACACGGCGCCTGCGGACGGCGGCAGGTTGAGGTGGCGAGTGGCTGCGGCTTGCTGCTGGAGTGGCTGCTCTCGCTCAGCAGGTAGGAGGTGCAGTCGTGCGCACGTCGGACGATCTTGTTGGGCTGGCCCAGCTGGCGGAGCCGCAGGGCCAGCCACTTTGGGTTCCTGCGAGCTTGCCCCCTGGTCGGAGCAACGACTGCAGGCACAAGAGAGCAGTATTCGTCTGTATGGGTATTTTTCGCTCAGGCATTTTGCTCGGAGCGTTGCTGGTCTACTCCGGTACAGTCAACCCGCATGGTAAGGATGAGCAACTGTCTTCCAAGGTTACCCTTGCATCCTTCCCCTTCGGCGCATCCTTGGCCGCTCTCGCTGGCCGCGCCCCGCTCGCAAAGTTTCATCATTGCCTTCCAAGGCCCTTGCATCCGCATCGTGCGTCTTTACTATGCACGGGTTGACTGTACTGTTCTCTACGTCTGTGTTCTGGCTGTTCGTCTTGTTTCGGTCCACGCCCTGGCTTTCGGCATTCGAAGCAGTATGAGCAGCAGCCACAAACTCTTCGGTGCCAGCACGGAGGTGCGCACCGGGTGGCTGGAAGCACTCAGGTGAACGTTTGCTGGGTCACGATGTCGGCCTTCACTGGCTGGCGGCGGTCGTTCGTGGCGGCGGTGCTCTGCCTTTTCCTCTCGGTCCACGCCAAGCTCAGGGGAGGCAGTTTTCACTCGAGATTCGCCTCGCGAAGGGGTGGTGCATTCCATTTCCATTGCTCCCTCCCTCCCTCTCTCCCTCCCGGCTTCTTCCCGTCCGCCTTCGCTCATCGCGCGTCTGGGCGATGCCAGGGGGGCCTCGGGAATAAGGACAAGAAGGCGGGCAGGTGCATGAGGAGGGGAAGGAGGAGGATTTGGGGGCCCGGGGGATGACGACGGGGTATCACGAGGGGGAGAGGGAGGCGCGGCGGGGAGGAGTGGCGCGAAGGGAGGGGTGGGTGGATGTGGAGTGCGAGGCTGGAGGAGCAAGAGGAGAAAGACAAGGACAATACCAGGATGGAGGAGGGGGGCAGGAAACGGACGATGATATGTGCATATGAGCGCGACAACGGGAGAGAGAGAGAGAGAGAGAGAGACAGAAACACATACGGAGAGAAAGACAGAGAGAGAGAGAGAGAGAGAGAGCGACAGAGAGAGAGAGAGAGAAAGAAAGAGAGACAGAAAGACAGAAAGAGAGAGAGAGGGAGAGATAGATGAATGGACATCTATATATATATATATATATATATATATATATATATATACACATACAAGACTGCAGTGGCGCTTCGCGCCATGCACCTTGGTCCTTGAAGTTTGGTATGCAGGCGGAATAGCAGGGAGGTCAAGCCGACAATTTAGCGATAACTCCTGGTTGCCTTTTCTGGCATCGCCGCTATAATAATGTTATTCGTTATCCTTCCTCCATGTTTCTTTTTCCTTATTTTCGCCATGCCCTGCGCATTCTCCCCATCCTCCTCAGCTCTTTTTTGCGGAGGCTCCTCCTCGGAGAGCCTCTAGGGGCCTCACAAAAGTTGTTTCAGGCTTTCTTAAGGCCTTCTGGAGACCTCCTGGGCATATTCTGGGGGCCTCCGGGGGCTTCCTCGGGTCACCATGCCTCCAACCGCGGTCTCCCTGAACGACTGAATCACGATTTGGAATTCTTCGGAGGGTGTCTTTGGGCCATCTTGGGCCGCCATGGGGCTCTCTGAAGGCCATCTTGGACCAGTGTTGTGCCGTTTTGGGGCTCTCTTGGACTGCCTGGAAACCCTTTCGGATGGTTGTGGGGCGATTGCGGAGCCTCCCAGGCGGCTTCGGACACCCAGAAGACCGCCGTCTTGGAGCGTCGGGAAGCCGAGTAGAGGAGAACCGCAGACTTCACCAACAACCAATAGAAAATCAATGATTTTCGCATCCGGGGGCCTTCTTGGGAGTGCTCTTGGAGGCCTCTTTGGGGCCGTCCTGGAGGCCTCTTGGGCCATTTTGAGGTCACGTCGGTCACTCTTGGAGCGCTCTTGTCTTGTGCTGTCTTGGGGGTCTCTGGGACGTCTCCGATGACCCCCCTGATCGCCCTAGGTGTTCTGGGAAGGCTTGGCAAAGCGCCATGTTAGGCCCGGGGGCCGCTTCGAGGCCCGTCTGGAGGGTCCCAAAGCCCCAGATCCCGGGAGTCCGGTTTTGGGGGGGGGGGATGGGTTTCCCCCCCGCCCGGGCTTACAAAAATATAGGGAGAGGAATATACACAAGACTGCAGTGGCGCTTCGCGCCATGCACCTTGGTCCTTGAAGTTTGGTATGCTGGCGAAACAGCAGGAAGGTCAAGCCGACAATTTAGCGATAACTCCTGGTTGCCTTTTCTGGCATCGCCGCTATAATAATGTTATTCGTTATCCTTTCTCCATGCTTCTGTTTATTGCGAAGGCCTTACGGCCGTTGCCGCCGACCCTGAAGATGACGAAAGACAACACGAGGGGGGGGGCAGGAGGAGGAGGAGGAGGAGGAGGAGGCGGAAGGGAGTAGGAGGAGGAAGGGTGAAGGGGGAGGAGGAGGAGGCCTTATGGATGTTGGTTGGGATCTCGTGGTTGACCTCTCGGGGGCGTCTGGAAGGCAACTTGAAGCCTCTTGGGGGCCGTTGTGGGGCCTCTTGGGGCCTCTTTTGGGCCTCTTGGGGCTTCCGGAGGCCGTCTTCGGCGCATCTTGGGGGCGTCTTGGCGCCGCTCGGGGGCCTCTTGGGGCCTTTTGGGGGCCTCTTGGGGCTTCCCGGGGGCCTCTTAGGGCGGAAGTCTCGAATTCTCGGTTCCTCGTCCCCCTCTTGGCCGTTTCTTGGGCCCGTCTTGGGGCCCTATTGGGCCGTCTTGGGCGCCTCTTAGGCTGTCCTGGGGCCTTCTTGGGCCGTCTTGGGGCCCTCTTGTAGGCCTCTTGGGGCGCTCTTGGGGGCCTCTTGGGGGCCTCTTGGGCCGTCTTGGAGTGTCGGAAAGCCGAAAAGGCGAGAAGGCCAAAATCATTCAAAAACCTATGTAAAATTGACGATTTTGGCGCCTGGGGCCCTCTTGGGTGTGCTCTTGGGGCTCTCTTGGAGCGTCTTGAGGGCCTCTTGGGCCGTCTTCGGGCCGTCTTGGGCGTCTTGGGGCCATCGTTCGTCGAGTCGAGGCCCTCTTGTACCCTTTCGGGGGTGTCTTCTGTCGCTCTTGGCTCGTCTTGAAGCTTTTCTGAGCTCCGGGACCCCCCGGGGAGGATGCGTATCTGGGTGGCGACCCCCCCCGGGGACCCCCCCCGGCGACCCCCCCCCCCCCCCCGGCGGGGAGGGTAGGGAGGGGCTTCGCCACGACTCAACTACGACGTTGCTCAATGTCGCTTTGGCTCGCGCGCTCAAGGAGACGGGGAACGACGAAGACGACGAGGGACAACGGAGACGGAGACGACGAGGACACGACGGAGACGACGACGACGACGACGACGACGGTGATCCACGCAAGACGACGACACCGGGATGCGTCTTCCACACGCCGACAGGGTCGGCGGATTTATTTTCGCCATACCCTGCGCACACTCCCCATCCTCCTCAGCTCTTTTTTGCGGAGCCTCCTCCTTGGAGAGCCTCTGGTGGCCTCACAAAAGTTGTTTCAGGCTTTCTTAAGGCCTTATGGAGGCCTCCTGGGCGTATTCTGGGGGCCTCCGGGGGCTTCCTCGGGCCACCCTGCCTCCAACCGCGGTCTCCCTGAACGACCGGGTCACGATTCGGAATGCTTCGGAGGGTGTTTTTGGGCCATCTTGGGCCGCCATGGGGCTCTCTGAGGGCCATCTTGGACCCGTGTTGTACCGTTTTGGGGTTCTCTTGGACTGCCTGGAAGCCCTTTCGGATGGTTGTGGGGCAATTTTGGAGCCCCCCAGGCGGCTTCGAACGCCCAGAAGACCGCCGTCTTGGAGCGTCGGGAAGCCGAGTAGAGGAGAACCGCAGACTTCACCAAAAACCAATAGAAAATCCATGATTTTTGCCTCGCGGGGGCCTTCTTGGGAGTGCTCTTGGAGGCCTCTTTGGGGCCGTCCTGGAGGCCTCTTGGGCCATTTTGAGGTCACGTCGGTCACTCTTGGAGCGCTCTTGTGCTGTCTTGGGGGTCTCTGGGACGTCTCTGATGACCCCCCTGATCGCCCTAGGTGTGCCGGGAAGGCTTGGCAAAACGCCCTGCGAGGCCAGGGGGCCGCTTCGAGGCCCGTCTGGAGGGTCCCAAATCCCCAGATCCCGGGAGTCGTTTTTTTTTTGGGGGGGGGACGGATTTGCCCCCCGCCCGGGCTTGTAAACATGTAGGAAATAGTGTGTGTGTATATATATATATGTATATGTACATAGATATACAAGACTGCAGTGGCGCTTCGCGCCATGCACCTTGGTCCTTGAAGTTTGGTATGCTGGCGGAATAGCAGGAAGGTCAAGCCGACAATTTAGCGATAACTCCTGGTTGCCTTTTCTGGCATCGCCGCTATAATAATGTTATTCGTTATCCTGCCTCCATGTTTCTTTTTCCTTATTTTCGCCATGCCCTGCGCATTCTCCCCATCCTCCTCAGCTCTTTTTTGCGGAGGCTCCTCCTCGGAGAGCCTCTAGGGGCCTCACAAAAGTTGTTTCAGGCTTTCTTAAGGCCTTATGGAGACCTCCTGGGCGTATTCTGGGGGCCTCCGGGGGCTTCCTCGGGCCACCCTGCCTCCAACAGCGGTCTCCCTGAACGACCGGGTCACGATTCGGAATGCTTCGGAGGGTGTCTTTGGGCCATCTTGGGCCGCCCGCCATGGGGCTCTCTGAGGGCCATCTTGGACCCGTGTTGTGCCGTTTTGGGGCTCTCTTGGACTGCCTGGAGGCCCTTTCGGATGGTTGTGGGGCGATTGTGGAGCCTCCCAGGTGGCTTCGGACGCCCAGAAGACCGCAGTCTTGGAGCGTCGGGAAGCCGAAAAGAGGAGAACCCTAAAATTCACCAAAAACCAATAGAAAGTCAATGATTTTTGCCTCGCGGGGGCCTTCTTGGGAGTGCTCTTGGAGGCCTCTTTGGGGCCGTCCTGGAGGCCTCTTGGG